CCACTGTGTATGCGGAATGAAATTACCAACTTTATTATTAGAGATAAACACACATGTAGAAGCAGATGAAGTATAAAATAATATATAAATTAATTGCGGATGCAATAGACCTATCCCGAATTCGCTTGACTGACCACGAAACAATGGTTTGAAGTCGAGAATAAACTTGATTCTTTTACTCATCAAGTTCAACCTCGACTTGAAACCATTGTTTCGTGATCAGTCAAGTGAATTCGGGATAGGTCTATTAAACCGTGAAATAAAATCAAACTAAATACTAACTAATAGTATCTATTTAGTGACTAATAGTTGCTATCACTAGAACATTCATCATACAAAGACAAATACACAAGAAACCATTTGTGTCTTTTGTTTGATAAATGTTCTGGTTGAGTATTAGTGATTATTAGTCACTAAGTAGATACTATTAGTTAGTATTTAGTTTGATTTTATTTCACGGTTTATTTGCATCCGCTCTATGTAGAATACACTTATTTTAATAAAGTTAGTCACCAAAAACCTAGAAAGCTGAGACCACTGAGCATCATGGGAAACTTTTCATATCAAAAAAGCATATATATACAAAGCTTTTTTAACACAAACTGCAGCTCGATGATGCTCAGAAGAGGTGAGACTGTAACCGGTAAAAGATTCGCAAGTCCATGAACAGTTATCAAGCGGTTGGACGTGTAAAAATGAATCTACCCATAACCCTTGTCGGCCTCAGCTTTATAGCTTTTCAGGTGACTAACTTTATTGAAATAAGTGTATATGCACAGAATACTGCACTAAATACTATAAGACATTACATCGTACACAACAATATCAAAATGTGATCTGTACATGAAGTATTGTGATGTTGGTCTTGTGCTCAATATTGATGATGGTGATGTTGGTAATGAAGATGATTATTATTCTTAATGTTAAGTAATAAATACTGCAATAGAAATCCAATATAAAAACCTTTTTAACAAAGTTGAACACATTTTCTCTGGAATTTAGAAAGCTTAGAAATGACGCCGAGGTTAAGAAAAATGCTGGGTCGAGTTGGCTTAGCAATGCATTGTGGGACTGCTTTAGGGGACATATTTCCAAGATGGCGTCTATTTCTTGAACTCTAGTTTCCGAGTTTCCTGTGTCTCCGCACACATTTTCTTCATAGTCGCTGTCTATTTTCTCCCCTAAAATAGTCCCACAATGCACTGCAATGCCAACTCGACCCAGGTTTTATGCTCAACATTGGAATGTTAATGATTTAAAGGTTGTCTGTGTACGATTGTTGTAGAAATTATACAGGAAACCCACGCCACATACGACAATATTTAAAACTATTTACAATACGTGAAAAATCGTTCATCAATTCTGACTACAGTATTAATAATAAGTAATAAATTAATAATCAATTGRAAAGCGTTTTACCGAGTACTGAAAACTGCATAATTCTTAAGCAAAAAGTACATCTCAGTAATTCTAAAGTTGTAAATATCTAGGAATTCCCATAATTACTAGTCGACTTTTTACACTCTTTTCCCATTACCCACCACGTGTTATCCTATTTTATTATATAGATATCGATGAAATACCAGGTTTTCTCTAGTGTCGAAAACTTGATATCTTTCACCAGTGGAAGATACCATATCTTTCACACGTGAAGATATCGCTGTTGAATCGGCTTGCAATTTTAATTTAARAAATTTGAGCTTTTGTTTTGTTTAAGTTTCATCGATATCTATATAATAAACTCACTCGTGAGATATCAATTGAACACTCGAAGATAAAATTCGTATCTCCGCGCGCCCATGTAATAGCCTCTATGAGTATTATCATTCTGTTTACCCATAGATTACATTTAGACTTTATATTAGAGTTCTGTTTAAAAAAGGTTTCATATAAGAAACCAATACGCCCAAAGCACAAGGATTCCTTGGTTCTTGGAACACATTAGTTTAAAACGCCTTCGTGCTATAGACCCCTTGCAGCACGTCGTAATGCAGCTCAATTTGGAGGGCAAAACAATAGGTTTCCAATAGACCATTTCACAGATCTCGCGGCTCAACCTCAGCCTCGTCAGCGTGTAATATATTCTTTAGAAATTGCCTACAACCTGTGAAATTTTTAAGTGTTTCAATTGTTCATTGATGTGTAAATTCCTTTCATTACTGCGGACTGTAGTCAAATTCTAAAGAATAATTACACGCTGACGAGGCTGAGGTTATGTAACGGGATCCGTGAAATGGCCTATTCTCAGAGCCCGGTTGTACGAAGCCTAGATAGCGCTATCCGGCTATACTTATTCAGTGGATAAGTTGATGCCGTTATCCAATGAATTTATCCACTGGATAAGATTTATGTGTCAGATAGCGCTATCCACCCTTCGTACAACCGGGCCCAGGAGATAAAATAAACAAGGGGTCTGTTCTTGGAAAATGTTTTGAAATGCCCGCATGCGCAAACGTTTTAACGGGTGTTAATTTTAGGATTAACTATATACAAAGTAGCTCATCGGCATGTATTTACAGACTTGACGCTTTGGATGTTGGAAGAAAGAAAAGAAAAATCTCATCCTTTTTCGTTTTGGATTTGAAAAAAACAGGCCTGTAGGAAAAGAAAGAAAAGAAAATGTGACCATTTTTATGTTATTTATTTTTATTTAACTTTGCCTACAAAATCACAGGTAGGGTTGGGCACCCATGACATGATACCAAATACGGTGGACCCAAGCTACTTAGTTCTCGTCAAAAGGTAAGAGGTACAAAAATAACTATAGGAACATTGAACTGATATCAATGGAAGCCAACGATGCGCCCTTTATCTCCTTCTTCTATGAATGCTCCGTTTTTTGAGATTTTCGATTTTTTTGGCGCGAGCTTACACGATACCTCCACTCTCTCCTCCTCCCCACCCCTCCTCTCCCTTTCTCACCCCTCCCCTCCTAACTAATAACCAGATTAAGATATAATATGTTGACTAACCTTGAGGGTAGTAAACATGTGACCTTGTTCACCCACATGCACGTGACTATCCACCATGTCATCAATAAAATGGATTTCTGAGCCCAGGTGGGGAATACTGAAACATATTAGGAACAGTTACTCACGACTGGTAAATGGGCAATAGACTATATCCGTGCTTTGACTTTGATCAGCCCAGTGGTTGTTTCAGGGTTCGATCTGTGAGTTAGCTGCGCCCTGACTTAGATCAGCCCAGAGGTTGTTTCAGGGTTCGATCTGTGAGTTAGCTGCGCCCTGACTTAGATCAGCCCAGAGGTTGTTTCAGGGTTCAATCTTTCAGTTATAGCCATGCCCTGACTTTGATCAGCCCAGAGGTTGTTTCAGGGTTTAATCTGTGAGTTAGACATGCCCTGACTTAGATCAGCCCAGAGGTAGTTTCAGGGTTCAATCTGTGAGTTAGCC